AAACATCAACTACAACATCACCGATATTGTGAACATCATCAAACATCAACTACATCTTCAACTTCATCAAACATCATCAACATTACCAACATCAACTACATCATCATACATCACCAACATTGTGAACATCATCAAACATCAACTATATCTTCAACCTCATCAAATATCATCATACACCAATATGGGATACAATATATTGATATTTATACAATATAACAAACAAAGATACCATACAAAATATAAAATATAACAAACAAAGATACCATACCAAATATAAAAAGGACTAAATGGTTTACAAAAAAACACTCAGGACTAGATAGAGCAACATTTCCCAATATGGGATTTATAAGTAATTTTTTCTTAATAAAATCTATTATTTATTTATTTTATTATTTTATAACATGTGCATTTTCATACTATAAATTTAGAAAAAAATATTTTTTTAAAAGTATCATGATTTTAGGGAATATATTACCTTATTGATCAATAAATTAATAATGACATGAATTTTTTTATTTCGAAATATAAAAGAGTTTTACTTGATTTCCATAAAAAAATATTTTAAAAGAGTTAAGTTTAAATGTAAATATATTACCATAGTGATCAAATAACCAATGACCAATAATTTCTTGACATATGTATTTTTATATTTTTTAAATTCAACAAATTGATAAAAAAAGCTTTGAGACTTTGAATTACAAAAATCCTACAACGTTTCTACTTACATAATGAATATATATATATATATACTTAATATATTCTAACACAAAGAAATTTTGATTTCCAAAACAAAATTTTCATTTTTAAGAATCAACAGCTAACACAAAGCATAAAACTTCAAACATTTTTCTTCTCCTCTTTACTTTTCCTTAAATTTCTAGCTACGAATCATAAAATACAAATGCATGAAAAAGAATTCAAATTGAACCCAGAAAAACCCAAAAAGATAAAATCCAAAATATTTTGAAATTAAACATTTAAGCAACATCAAAGCAATAAGATAAAATCAACAATAGATTGACCAATCACACACAAACATGTATTATGGGTTGAGAGTGAAAAAAACAGTAGAAAAGAGTATTTATAAAAAAAAAAAAAAAAACTTCTTGAAATTTTCTCTTCTCTCTCCATGAGCTCTCCTTCTGCTAGCACCGACGACCTGATCACATCTCAAGAGGAAGAGGATCACCTCATCCGCAGTACGAAAAAGATTAAAAGCAAGGATTGCATGGGGGAATAGGACATGGAGATCACTGCTGAAAGCACATCGTTTCTTAACCCCCCAAACCCTCCAGAAGCTATTTTGGATCTCCCCTCCCCTTCGGAAGTTGTCGGATTTGACCATCCCAAGGCGAAATCGTTCAAAGAAGCTCTCGCAATACCTAAGAGCATCAATTTCTATTTTGATGATGCCGTAGACACCATTCTCTCTAATGATGACGAGGAAGACGAAGATGGGGACACTAACATTCATAAGAATAATCTCCCCACGGAGCCCCCTAGTATACCAAGAATTTCTCTACCTAAGAAACTTCTACAGCAGATCAGGAAACCATGGACCAATACTCTCATTGTTCGTCTTCTTGGCAAGAGCATAGGGTACCGGTTGCTCTGCAACAGAGTGAAGACCTTGTGGGCAATCCAAGAGGATTTTGATGCTCTACAACTATTTTTTGTTCAAATTTTCTTCCCAGGACGACGATAACCATGTCTACACAGGAGGTCCCTGGTTCACCATGGACCACTACCTTACGATTCGGAAATGGGAGCCTGACTTTAAGGCATCAGAAGCCTTTGAAACCACCACTGCTGTTTGGGTGAGGTTTATGGAGCTTCCGATTGAGTATTTCCAAGAAAAGGTCTGTTATCCCAGTTAGGCAACCCAAGAGGGGGGGTGAATTGGGTTATTAAAAATTTCACAATATTTAGAATTTTAATAAATAAAAAAAAACAGAATAATAATTATCAATATAAAAGTAGAAGAGATAGAGAGAGAAAATCAAACACTGCGATTTATAGTGGTTCGGCAAGCCAGGCCTACGTCCACTCCCCAAGGAACCTCCTTGAGAATTTCTTTACTATCAATTGAATAAATACACCACCAAGCTTGTGGATTTGGCACAAGACTTATTCTTATCTATTGAGCCTCACTCAACAATAAATGTCTTACCCTTACAAAATCTCTCACAAAAATAAGGAATAAAAATAAGTGGTAATTTGAACCCACTTTTACAATAATTCTCTCACAAAGAGTAGATATGAAAGTGTAAGATCAAAAGCTAGACTTAGATCTGAAAGTTAAAGAGCAGAATACTCAGAATTTTGGAGCTCACATAAATATTTTCTCTTCAAGTTCTTGGTTTTTCTTCACATCCAACACTTCTATTTATACACAAAAATATACCCGTTGGACGCTCCTTGCTGACGTCATGACTTACATAAGCACGCTCCTGACGTCATGGCTTACATAAGCATACTCTTGATGTCATCGCTTACATAAGCACACTCCTTGATTTTTAATAGTCAGCAAAAGATAAAAAATAAGACTGATTTTTTTCTTTTTGTTTTTTTTTTTCAAACATGGAGCCACCATTTTTGTAGACAATTTAATATAAAGTTCACAACTTTCAAACAAACAAATAATTTTCTCCATCTAGTATATAATATATATATATATACATATATATATAACTCCATCTGTTTTTTCTTGTTTGATTATAATATGATATAATCAATGTAATGTAAAAAAAATTTAATAGCGCACGTGATGTATTCTATATATATTATATGCAATATATATATAATGTTCTAATCAAATATTTGCATACAGAAAAATCTCTTTAAATGATATTTATGATGGATCTGAAATGATATTTATGATGGATCTGAAATGATATTTATGATGGATCTGAAATGATATTTATGATGGATCTGAAATGATATTTATGATGGATCTGAAATGATATTTATGATGGATCTGAAATGATATTTATGATGGATCTGAAATGATATTTATGATGGATCTGAAATGATATTTATGATGGATCTGAAAATGTATGTCATCTTTAAAATATTGTATATGTTGTAAAGATTTTAAACTAAATGTATTTTACCACTCCATATATTTAACAAATATATATATTTTTAAAAAGATAATATTTTGTGTCAAATAATATGTATATTAAAAAAATCCAAATTGTTAAAAATAATATTTTAGACATCATCAAAATTAAATAATATGATTAACAAGGTCCTATATACCATCGCTAAACAGATCGGGAAGCCTCTCAAAATTGATCTTAGAACGGCCATGGCTACCAGAGGCAAATACGCCAGAGTTTGCATTGAAATGGACCTGAACAAACCCCTCTGCCCCAGGTTTCTTTTAGGTAAGAAAAGCTATAACATTGAATATGAATCCATCCACTCATTTTGCTTCTTCTGTGGCAGGGTGGATCATCGAAGGGAGCTACGCCGAAACAAAGCAGCACACCAATCCTCACAGGTGCCTCAAGCCACAAACTCGCCGCCGGCCGGTGATGGACTAGCCGTTTCAGAGAACTATTCAACGACACAATTACAGATGAATGACAGCCGACAACGTTCAGCGGACACTGATGCTGGTTTTAGGCCATGGATGTTGGTTACCAAAAAGACCTGAAGGCCCACACCCACTCGGAAGGCCCAGAATAGTGGACCTAGCCCAAAATCCAATAAATTTGCTGAGTTGGGCAATTCTGTTTATCAGGAAGAGGGATCTGGACGAGGTAAAAAAACCAACAGATTGGGCCTAGATAAGGAGGCCTCCTCATCCTTCAATGTTTCGACCCTTTCTGGGCAAGAGATTACCACAGTTAACCAAAGGACTAACCACGCTAAGATCCCCAACCACTCTGAAAGCTTAGGATTACCCTCATTATACCCAACATCATATACATCATCCAACCCATGTGCAAATCCAACTTTGAGCTCACCTACCCATAATGATAATGACAACACACAGAAAGAGTACACTCCTACTCTGGAGCCTGAAACTACTTCTCCCAAGGATTCTGATACCATATCTCCAGAAATCCCAATGGACGTGATAACTGAAGCCCCCTCAAACTCTCTCTCACCTATACCCCCCTTTAAACCATTCCATATCTCTCAGAGAAGGGAAAACAAGAGCTAGAAAACCTCTTGATCCAGACATCCTACATGGAAGAGGAGATGTGTAACGACCCCATCACGTGTAATGATTAGTACATGATTAATTACGAGGATTGAAATTTAATTGCTGAGTATTGTAATTTAATTTGGGATTTATGAGGATTGTGGGATTTGACCCGTATATGATTCTATTAAAGATTTATTTTGAAATTAGAAATTAAGGGTCCAAATGGCTTAAGGAAGTGAAGTTAAGAAGTTGAATCAATTTAATGTTAATTATGGACCCATTTGGGAGTTTAATTAAATATTCGTTTCAGTTAGTAAAATTGAGATTCGATTAATTAGATTGGAATTGGAGAAAATTAAGCTAATTAAATTATGAGGATTGAGAATTGTAATTATTTCGAATTAAATTTAGTTATGGGGTGCCCAATTTGAATATGTAATTTATTGACAAAGATTTGGTGTCTGATAAAAAATTGAAGGCCTAAATGATTTGGGGAATCAAAATTGAGGATGAAAATAAGTTTAATTTAATATTTGGAACCTTTTAGGAGTTCGATTAAAAATCTGATTCAGATTGATAAATTTAATTATATTTAATTAGGCCCTAATGGAAGTCAATTAGACTAATTAAATTATATGAGATTTGAGATTAGTTATAATTAACTAATTTTGTGTTAATTAAAATTTATTAAGATTAAGTGATGCTTAATTAAATTATTCCTAGACATAAATTGAATTATGGACTAAATTGGTATTGGGGGTGTAAATGGGTGTGGGTGTATTGAGATATCTGTGTATGTGTGTGTATCTGATGTGTTGGAAAGCAAAGGAGAGTGCACGTGTGCTATGTAGAGGTCAAGAAGAAGTGATAGGTATTGTTTAGTTCATCAATTTGCTCGGCTGGAGACAAAACCGAGAGAGGGAAAACACTTTGATGGAAATTTTGGAAGGAAAAAGAGCAACTCAAGTCTTGTGTGGAAATAGGAAGAAGTGAACTCAAGAGATTCAACCATGGAAGGCTTAAGGTAAGGAATTGAAGCTTAAATTTTTGTAGACAAATCACCTAAAAGCTGAACTTAAAAATGGTTGGATTCAATCTCATGTAATTAATAGAAATTAGCAAGAAGATGAAGAAAATTGAATTTATGTTTATAGATTACAGAGATAAATTGGAAATTAATTAGTTAGAGTTTGATTTCTATCATTCTTCACAAATTGAAACTCATCCTTGCATGAATGTTGGAATTTCAAGGTTTTAGATTTAATTCATATATAAAAGATTGATAAGTTTAAATTTGGGTTAGATATGAAGGAAATTAATAAAAATCTAAATTAGAGCAATTGAAGAATGAAATTATGATTTGATTTTGAATATAGAAAATTAGTTGGTTTTAATCTTAATTTCATACCTACAAATACTTTCCTAAGAGTCATATAACTTCAATTTCATGTAAATTAAAAGGAATTAGTAAAAGGGTGATGAAATTGAATTAGATTCAAAATTATAGCAGTTAATTTGAAATGGGTTGCATGCATGTGGATGGTTATGGAAAATAAATTAGAAATTAATTATTTTGGGTTTGATGTTGTGATTTTGCATGAAATTAAGCTTCATTGTTACATGCATGAATAAATTTTACAAGTCTAATACTCTAATTATACATGCATCATGGATTTTGAAGGATTTGGATTAATTCAATCTCATATTTTGAAGTGAAAAAAATATATATATTTTATGAACATCAAGTTTATGGAAAATTAGAATTAATCCTAATGCTAGATAAAGCTTTGATTTTATAATTAAATTTTTAATCCATCCATGTAATGTAATTTAAGATTTTATTTAAATTAAACATATTTTGATTATGAATTAAGTTGAGGTTACAACTTAAGTTGAGTTCAAGATTATGGAAATTAGTTGGAAAATTTATAAGAAGTTTCATGACTCCAATTTCATGATTTCAAGGAAACTAGAAAGAACTTGAGGCCAATTTTATGCAATTAAAGAGAAAATGAGAAATTGAAGCTATGATCAAATGTATGAGAATTAATTTAGAAATTAATTACTTTGGGTGGAATTTATTTGTCCTAACATGAAATTGAGTTCCAATTGTATGTACATTATGAATTTTTCAAGAGTTTTGAAAGTTTAATTCGTGTTTTAAAATTTGTAGGCTTGAAATTGGGTTTGATATGGGGAAGATGAGTTAAAACTAAATTTGGACAATTGGAGTATGATTTTGAATGAATGATTTCTAATTGAAAGTGTGCATTTAATTATACAATGGTTTTTCATTTTTGTGTACCAAAAGTACATGTTTTGAGGCTTTGAATACCAAATTTGAACTTCAATTGCAATTTTGGAATTTCAGAATTTGTGTTGTTCGCTCGAGCGAGGAAAGTCTCGCTCGAGCGTGAAAATCGAGCTCCCAGTAGTTTTTCAAATTTTATAGTCCACTCGAGCAACCAAAGTGGCGCTCGAGCGGGACCCATTTTCAGCATATTTTGAAAAATTGCATTTAGTTCACATTTTTATTCTCATATCTTTGCAAGGCATTCTAGACATGATTATGACTCAATAACGATTAATAAGCTACCAATCAACATAGATTAGTTAGTTGAAGAATTAATCATTGATCTAGTGGTAATTGCTTAAGAAGCCAAGTAAAAGATCAATCTATTTGGAAAAGAAGGGCTTAGTAATGAACGAATATGTGAAATAAGAACCCGGTTTATTTGAATGAGAAAGAATAAGCGTAGTAGAAGACTAGAAAAGTCAAGTTTGATCAAGAGAGTAATATTGTATTTCAATGTGTATATGTTATGTGCTTGTGTAGGTCACGCGCCATTGTCTGCCTGATTTATCGGATATGTCAAGTCTGTCTGATTTGCTTCTGCAGCCATCTGTGAGTAATAACTTAGTAAAGTTATGTTCAACTGTATCTATTTTCTGTGTGATAAAACAAGATCGGTTTTCCGAATTGATATGTTTTGTACAATGAATGATTGTTTAATTTCTGATATGTATTCGTGACATCCTTAGCATCATGTGATATCTGTTAGTTGTTACCCGGTATCGGAGGTTCTTTTATGGAACTTATATCCGTCTGTACTCTGTTACCCGTATCGGAGGCCCGGTCATGGGGGCTCAGCTTCTGTTTTGTTACCCGGATCCGGAGGTTCCTTTGTGGAATTGGTTATTTGTAACCTCACGCGTATGCGTTCTGTTCTGTTCTGTTCTGTTAATGCTAATGAATGTATCATGTGAACGTAAGCATGACTTATGATTTCTGTATATGATCTGGACAAATTATGAATTTGATACGAAACTGAATTATGATTTCTGAATCTGTATGGACTTATTCATTAAAACCCTTTACTCTGTTATTATTCACTGGGTTTTGGCTCACTGTATTGTTTATGTATGTAGGTGATCAGGCGCGTGACCAAGCTTAGAGGCATCTGTCTAGAATCTGTTTTGTCAGCCAACCTATGTGCCTCCCGTGGAGGTTCCGGATATGTTAAGTGTTTAACGCTGTGTGATTTAAAGTTTAAGTTTTGTTTTCGTGTTTGGTTGAACAAGTCTTATGTATTTTGTAAATAGGGTTAAGTCCTTTTTTGTCTAATCTGTATATATATAACGACTTAAAGATAATGTGCATATATGTATATAAAAAGTTTAAAAATTTTCTGTTTCATATAAGTCTGCATAGCTCAATGGACGTTGTATATTTCTTATTTGCTTCCGCTAGCCCCTAATATTATGTTAATCTGTCTCAGAGGCCTTCGGTAATCTCAGGATTACTGGCCGGTTACGATGCTAAACCTATAGGGGTGGGTTTGGGTCGTGGCAAGATGAACCTCCCAGAAGCAACAATCAACAAGATGGAAGACAACAACTTGGGGCTGTTGTTAGAGTCAGGGACAGAAGTAATTCACCAAGTTGACACAATCTGGTGGATAGAGCAAATAAAGCTGAGAATCGAACCAGGGTGGAGCAAAACAACCATACATCCACTCCACTCCCTGAAAATGGCATCCATGCGGTCGATAGACCAAGACCATCGTAGGATCCGTAGCCTCTTACCAGGTATTATAGCTGATCCTCTACCATCATTTCCATCCATGGACTCGCTCAAAATCTTGATTTGGAACTGCTGCGGGGCTGGTAACAATACCTTTCGACGCAACATGCGTGAGCTCCTTCAAACCCACAGACCTGGGATTATTGTTCTCTTGGAAACAAAAGTCATGTTTAGTTCCATGGGAAATTTCTTCAGCAACATGGGTTTTTTCGCAGCTACTATTGTTGACCCAGTGGGACGATCATGTGGAATTTGGTTAATCTGGGACACTGACCAAGCTAACGTTCATGCATTTGTTGTTACTAATCAATACATACAAGCCACGGTTCATAAAGAGGACTACGAGGAATGGGTTTTCAACGCGGTGTATGCCAGCCTTAACCCCTCTCTGAGGGAGGCTCTTTGGGAGGAGTTGGAAGACACAGCGAGGAACTTAAACAAGCCTTGGCTTATAGCCGGAGATTTCAATGACTACGTTAACCAGAGTGAGAGGAGAAGCTTCCCACACACCCCTAATCAGAACAGAATACTGAGGTTTATGGAAAGGATCAATAATTGCAATCTTATTGATTTAGAAAGTGTTGGTCCCCGTCTCACATGAACAAACAACCGTCAAGGCCTAGCTAACTCTATGGAGAGGTTGGATCGAGCTATGAGCAATGATCAATGGCGAGCCCTTTTTCCTGAAGGAACTGTGAGGACTCTCCCGCGAACCTACTCGGATCATTCTCCACTGATAGTATACACTCAAGGTATGCATTCCTCTAACCCTCAGAATAGGCCTTTTAGATTTGAAGCGGCCTGGCTTTGCCACCCTAATTTCCCTGAGGTTGTTCATCTTTCTTGGTTAAACAAAGATTTTAAACTCCTTGAAACTATTGACAATTTTACTCAGAATGTTAAAACTTGGAATAGAGAAGTCTTTGGTAACATCTTTAAACACAAAAGAAATCTGTTGGCCCGTATCGAAGGCATCCAAAAAAATCAAGCCCAGGTCTTTTCTCACAACCTGCATATCCTGGAGAAAGACCTAATCAAACAATTTAATTTGACCCTTTTTCAGGAAGAGATTCTTTGGTTTCAAAAATCCAGAAACAAATGGCTCATTTTGGGAGACAATAACACTAGATTCTTCCACATGTCTACTTTAACCAAGCGTAGAAAGCTTAAAATTCTTGTGCTAAAAGACGACAATGGTAATTGGATCTCGAACACCAATGAACTCAAAAACCACATCATGGATCATTTTAGTCAGCTTTTCCAATATGAGGAAATTCACCTTGTGGATAAATGGATTAACATTGCTAGAACCTGTTTCACCTCTGAAGACAATAATCATCTCCTTGCCCCTATGTCTAACTCTGAAATATGGACAGCCATCAAAAACATTAAAGCCTTCAAAGCCCCGGGGAAAGATGGACTCCAAGCTATTTTCTACCACAAACACTGGAACACTATTAGCACCTATGTTTGCCATTTTATCCAAGAGTGCTTTCACTCTAAAGAGGTCCCCAAAGAAATCAATGAAACTCTCATCACCCTTATACCCAAGCTGGATAATCCCGAGTCTTTAAAACAATTTAGATCCATCAGTCTTTGCAATGTCATCTATAAATCCATATCTAAAATCATTGTCAACAGACTCAGACCTCTCCTCCTTGACCTTATCAGTCCCAACCAGAGCAGTTTTATCCCTGGCAGAACCACCACTGATAATATTATCATAACCCAAGAAATCTTCCATACACTTATATGTAAAAAAGGTAAGCTTGGTGGCATGATCCTCAAAATTGACCTTGAGAAAGCTTATGACCGCATTTCCTGGGATTTCATACACCATACCCTTAAAGAATTCAAACTAACTCCGAATTGGATCACTCTCATCATGAACTATGTGACTTCTGTTAATTCTGCTATAATTTGGAATGGAGAAACTTTACCCAACATCAGTGTGGGGAGAGGTCTCAGGCAAGGAGATCCTCTCTCCCATTATTTGTTTGTCCTTTGCATAGAAAATCTCTCCAACATGATTCGTTTTAAAACTGAGAGTAGAAAATGGAAGGGCCTCAAAGCTTCTAATAACAGCCCCCCCATTTCCCACCTGTTTTTTGCAGATGATTTGATTCTCTTTGCTAAAGTTAATAGAAGTAACTGTAATTGCATTATGGAAGTTCTATCTGAGTTTTGTGGCATGTCTGGTCAAAAAATTAATTTTCATAAATCCAAAATGTACATTTCCCCCAACATCCCTAGAAGAGAAGCTCTCCCTCTCAGCAATATGTGTGGCATCTCCATCACTACTGACCTAGGGAAATACCTGGGTACTCCTCTCCTTCACACTAGAGTTAGCAAAACTCATTTACAAGATATTCTTGACAGAATGGCCAAAAAACTATCTGGTTGGAAAGCCAAAAATTTATCTCTTGCAGACAAAGCTACCCTAGTCAAGGCTGTCACTTCTTCCATGCCTAATCATCTAATGCAAACCATGGAAATTCCAAGAAGGGTATGTGACCAAATTGATAAAATGAATAGAAATTTTCTCTGGGGTAATATAGAGGAGAGGAAGAAAGTTCATCTTGTTAACTGGCAGCAAGTTTGTAAATCTAAGAGTAATGGGGGCCTTGGTATAAGACAAGCTAGAGTCCAGAATTCAGCTCTCCTATCTAAGTTGGGATGGAAATTGACTAATAACTCTGATGAGCTTTGGTGCAAAATTCTAAAAGCCAAATATCTCAAGGGCTATTCAGTCTCTAACTGGCCCACCCAAAGAAGAGCACCACACACTTGGAAAAGCATTATCAGGAATGAGGAGGTCCTGAGTAAGAATATAAAATGGAATGTTGGCACAGGGGAGAACATAGCCTTATGGATAGATTGGTGGTGTGGTAACCAACTATTGTGTATCACTCAACCAGGGGCTCACATTGACAACACAACCAAAGTTAGTTCTATAATCAATGAAAAAGGACAATGGGACTTAACCTCAATTCAAGATCTTATTTCCCAATCAGTGAAAGAGAAAATTTTCAGTATATATAGACCAAGGTATGTTACTTTTAGTGATAACCCTCTTTGGAATGGCTCCCTTAGTGGACAATTTACAACAGCAGCAGCTTACATAGCTATTTTAAATGAGGACAGAGAGGAAGTGAATTGGCAGTGGCTTTGGAAAATAAAGGCCCCTAAAAAACTCAAAACCTTTCTCTGGCTTGTTTTGCATGAGAGGCTTCTGACTAATCATATGAGGTTCATCAGACAACTTTCAAACTCTGAGATTTGCCCCAAATGCCAAACTTGTAGAGAAGATATGTACTATCTACTTCGGGACTGCCCTAAAGCTAAGGCAATATGGCTTAACCTTAGAAGTCTTGACTGGTGGCAGCGTAGTAACAACACTTCTCTGCAGGCTTGGATCAAAGTTAATATGAGAAGCAAGGATCGAGTGCACAATATTCAGTGGCCTATTGTTTTTCTAACAACACTCTGGCACATTTGGAAAGGGAGGAACAAAGAAGTGTTTGATAACCTCTCCACACCTTCATATATAACTGTTAACTCCATTCTTGAACAAGCTATGGCAACTCAGGAGGCCTTCTAGGCCATCCTGAACCCACATTTCAGAGATCCTAATCTAATGTTGTGGTCTTGTCCTTTTGCAGGTAAACTCAAACTAAACATGGATGGAAGCTCCAGAGGAGACCCAGGCCAGTCTGGATTTGGAGGGCTGTTCCGAGATGAAGTTGGAACCTGGGTGTGGGGGTACTTCGGCTATTTAGGAAGTTGCACAAGTTTGGAATCCGAGCTGTGGAGAATTTACAGAGTGCTGACCATCATCATGCAGAAGGGATTGACCAACATTGACATTGAGACCGACTCACAGACAGCTATAGAGTTATTCCGAGATGGATCTGCAGCAAACTCTCCCTATCGAGCACTCATTGAGGATGCTAATTTCCTCCTACGGCGCTGCCAATGCACACTTAAAGCCATCCCTAGAGAAGCTAATCAGAGTGTTGATGCTCTGGCTAACTTAGGTGTAAACCAACATGACCACACTGTCTTTCTAGAGGATCCTCTAAGTTCCATTCTCTCTTTTTTGATCACTGATATGAGCACTGTTAGCTCTAGTAGGGATTGATGTATCCCAGGAATGTGGTAGTAAACTCTTCTTTGTTGAACTTTTATCTTCCGCAAGAATCAAAAAAAGAAAAGAAAAGAGAATTCACTCATTAGAATAAGATCACAACTATTATGGCAAAAAATCTACAATGGAATCTCATTTGATTATGTAATGATTCATTCAATTTCCTAGACTCAATTATTGACTTGAACGGGTGGTCTGCTGATTTTTTTGAGCTAAACATTTATCACTATCAGAGAGCCCTTATTTTTCTTTTTCTTTTGGAAATAAGCATAATTGGTTCAGCAATTGGTCATCTTGGAAAATAAGAATAGTACAAAATATGATTGAAAACAAGTTGAGTTTTTATTTTTATTATTTTAATAATAAGAATCTATAATATATTTTTTTTAGAAAAAAAGGTAAAAATGTTAAAATAATAAATTTTTAATGGTAAATATTTTTTTTAAATGTGTCAAATTTACATAAGTTAATTTCAAGTTAAACTTTTTAAAATAAATTTATAATAAGTTTTGAATAAGTTTTCATTGGATAGTGGAAATTGTTTCGTACGGAACATTTGTTGAAACAAAGAAAAACATGGCACACCTCATCGTGCAAAAAATAGCCTTTGTTTGGCAATTTGACTTGAGTTGAGTTGGGTTGGATTTTGAATTATTTTATTCATAAAAATATAAAATAAATTTTTTAATTTAATAGGATAAAATATCATATCTAATTCATAATTATTATATTTTTTTTTTATAAAAAGTCAAAAAAATTAAAAAATTTATTCTAAATGAGACTTTTTAACCCTAAATTAAAATAATAAAAAAGTCAAAAAATCTACCTACTTCCAAACAAACTCTTATTGGTTGATTTAAGGTACTGCATAATTATGCTTCTTACCAATTATATTTTGTCATATCTTTTTATATTTCATAATTATTTAATATAAATTTATAAATCTCATCTTAACAACATCATTAAAATATCCCGTAACAACACCTCAAAACTAACCAATACCTTCATCTCATAGAAGTGTTTTCATGGTTGATGTGATATTGTCGACTTCCTCTGAAAAATCAAATCGACGTGTCCTCCACACACATTCTCTCTCCCATTGCGGTTCAAGGTTTTTGAACGTCTCATAACAATTATTACTGTCTTAGGAATTGTTTAGGTGTCTTAAATAGTATATTTTTTGTCTTTTTAGATTAAAAAGATAAAAAAAAAAGAATTTGGGTTAATTTTTTATCTTTTTATGAAAAAATGTGTAATAAAAAATTATATAATTAAAGTGTGTAGTGGAAAATTAATTATTGATTGTACGGCTGCCTCGACTACCCAGCCTCTGTATACAAAAAAAAAAAATAATCAAATCTTTCGGGGCAAATAACTTTTGGATAGTGATGGTCGGTCTGTGCGGGCCATCATGTGTCCCATTTTAATAATCTGAACCGTTCAATATGTACAATTTATTCAATCCGGAACCGAACCACGGATTCAAAAAACCAATCCAAACCTATCGGATTGGACTGGACTGGATCGGATTACGGATTTCACGGATTCCTTGCTCAGCCCTATACAAAACTGATTTGATCATATAGTTAACGATATCCGATCAATGTGATTTTTTTGCAAGAATATATTAATCGACGAGTTTTACATGTTGAACGGTTCGGATTATCAAAAGGAAGTCCTTAGTGGGCATCCATGGGCCTAACATTTTTGTGACTTTACATATAGTATTTTTTTTGGCCCCAAACTTCGGGGCAAATGCCTGTCAGACGGCAAATAATCAACTTCTGTGCATTTGAAGTGTAAATATATATAAAATATTTTTTTAATATTTTTTATTTGTGAATAGTAATGTCTTTTTTACTTTTTGTGTAACTTTTTGACTCTTTAGATTTTTTTGAGAATGCCAAACTTGGCCTTAAAATATATATATATATATATATATGTATATTTTTTTTGAGGAATTCATTTTTTTATAATATAATTATTATATTTTAAAAATATTAAAATTTTAAAATTAATTTTCGATAATACAATTATTACACTTCAAAAAGATGTTAATAAATTTTAAAAAAAGAACAAAATTAAAAATTTATGTTATTTTAGTTCTTTATTTTTTAAAAAGGATTAATATTTGAGATAATAAAAAAATAAAATATGACATGGGTAAGCCCATAAAGATTATAGCCCACCATTTGGGGCCCAATACATAATTCAAATGCTAAAGCCCAACACTGCTGAAGCCCCACGTAGCAATAAGAACCAATGACATCAAGACACATGGCGAGAGAAGGGCAAGCTACATCAGCAGATAAAGATCTGCAAAGTTATTGCCACGGCACATCGCCATTAATGAGGCCCCATACAGCATTTATTGCGATAACCCTTCTCCATCGGAACAGAACGCCTTCACCATGAACAAGGTAAGCTAAAGCATAGACTTTCGGCCAAGGTGACAGGTCAGAAGGGACAACGAAATGATTACCAGAGGATATAAGCAAAGGTCGAAGACAGAAAGAAGGTTAAGTTTTTCTATCTCTAATTTATCTACACATTCCACGTCTCTCTTTCTAACTTGCCCGTTGGAGGGTTCGTTGGGGGACTCCTCGTTCCCCATTGAACTCTTGTGCAGGTCTTCTGGTGGGCTTGGTCATTCGAACATAGGCTCGAGGAGCGTGGATCAGTCCGACCCGTTCCACTTGGAATGAACTGTATCATCAGTTGGCGTCGTCTGTGGGAAAGGTTTTTGTTCCGCGCGCCAGTTGTGCTCATTGTCGCTGGAGACCCTCTCCCAATAACCTCCTCCTACCACCTGTGAAGGTGGATGGTCACAACTAGATCCATGGCTTCTCACCCCAATGTTCCCGATCATCAAGCCGACCCCCCCAATCCGAATAACCCACCATAGTATTTCACCCAATCCGAATAACCCACCATAGTATTTCACCCAATCCGAATAACCCACCATAGTATTTCACCGAACTCACCAACAGCATTAACCGCTTGGCCGAGCAAAACCAAGCCCTGATTAATGCTCTACTCCAAAGAAACCTTCTTATGTCTCCTCCACTACCTCCAGATATTCCACCCAACCAAGAACGAGTCCCGAGCCATACTATCCTGCAACCTAACCCACCCAACTTGGAAGGCTTGCGAGCTCCCCTCTCGAATATAAACCTGCCACCCCGGGCCTCGCATCCATCGGCCCCGGTACCGACCTTCGAGGGAGAGGCCAATAGCGTCCAGCCCCCGCTCCCCTCCGGTGGTGACAACATTCCTCTCTGGGATGCAGAACTCCGAGCCATGAAACTCCAGCTCCAAGGAGTCATGCAAAACATACAGCATAAACCATCCACCATGGCCAACTCGCCATTCGTCGCCTCCATCCGGAACAAACCTCTACCCCCCAAGTTCAAAATACCCACCATTGACTCTTTTGACAGTACGGACGGATCCAGTTGACCACTTGGAGACCTACAGAACCCTCATGATCCTCCATGCATTCCTTGACGAAATCATGTGTCGGGCTTTCCTCGTGACACTCAAGGGGTCAGCTCGACTTTGGTTTAGTCAATTGCTAGCAGACTTTGTCTCCACTTTCCAGCACCTCAGTGACTCCTTCCTCAGCCATTTCATTAGAGCCCAGTGCCAGTGGCGTCCGGTAACCCAATTTCTCAACATCCGCCAGACTGAGGGGGAGTTGTTGTGCAGTTTCGTTACCCGCTTCAACACTGAAGCCTTACAGGTAGCGGAAAACGATGACAAGGTCATCCTTACGGCTTTCATGGCCGGTCTACGGTCCTCTGACTTCCTTTTCTCCCTCTCTAAAAATCCCCTGACCTCCATGGCAACCTTACTCTCTAAAGCCCAAAAATACATGAATGTCGAAGATTCCCTAGCCGCTCACCAAGACCCTACAGCAAAAAACCCGACCCCCCGAGAAAAGCGAAAAGACTTAGAAACCAGAAATACCCAGTATAATAACCCAAGAAGTCAGTATACCGACCGAACCCCCCGAGCCCCATTGGATTGACTCTCCAAAAAGCCCCGACAGTGGACCGAGCCTATCACCTTTACGGACGCCCACTGCAAAGGCATCCATTACCCCCATGACAACCCTCTCGTTATTTCCGCTCTACTCTCCAATTACAAGGTCAGACGAGTTCTCGTCGACAACGATAGTTCTTCAGACATCATCTTCCTTAATTGCTTCCGCCAGCTCAAGATCGAGGAAGAAAGTTTGTCTCCTCTCCGAACCCCTTTGGTCGGTTTTACTGGCGATCGGGTGACCTCCATTGGCTTCATCGATCTTCTCATCACAATCGGCGAGTACTCGCAGCAGACCACAAAGTTACTCACCTTCATTGTTGTTGACTGCCCCTCTGCCTACAACATCATCCTTGGCCGTACCGCCCTAAATGCTTTCCAAGCTATCACATCCACTTACCACCTTGCCATCAAGTTCCCCACCGATCTTGGGGTCGGGACAGTAAGGGGAGAGCAGACTGTGGCCAGAAAATGTTATGTCGCCTCACTTAAAGAAGTCAAGTTGAAGGAGGCTATGATCATTGAAGGACTCGATGTCAGAGACGAGGACGAGCTGGTTAGGGGGGAACCAGTGGAAGAACTTGTCGAGGTCCTCATCGATCCCACCAACCCAGCAAAAACTGCCAAGATCGGCAGCCAACTATCCATCTAGGCAAAAGCCGACCTTACCGCCCTCTTGATCAAGCACAAAGATGTATTTGACTGGACCTACTCCGATATGCCGGGTATCGACCCCTCCTTTATAACCCATCGCCTCAACATTGAACCCCATTTCTAACCTTTCCGTCAGAAGTAGCGCATCTTTCATCCAGAGCGCAACACTCTCATTGCCGCGAAAGTAGATAAGCTCCTTGAGGCACAATTCATCAAGAACGTGGACTACCCTAGATGGTTGTCAAACGTGGTCCTGGTCCGTAAGAACAACGGTAAATGGCGACTCTGTGTCGACTACTCCGACCTCAACCGAGCTTGCCCTAAAGACAGCTATCCCCTTCCTCGCATAGATCTGCTGGTTGACGCCATGGCCGGTCATCAAATGT